GACAGGAGCATCCAAATTTTGAAGAAAAATGATTTGCATACCAATTTGAAATGTAACTTTAATAATCTAGGAAGAAAGGTGGTAAGGCGTAAACAGACTTTTCTTCACCTGCACCATAATTATTTCTCCCCTGGATCTCCTTATCTGCAATCCTTTGCTTGTCTCTCTTGACTCTCATCATACCAGATCCTCCTGATGCTGTCATTGATTTCAGCTCTGTAAAGTAGGAAACAGGTATTTTTGTAAACCCATATACCCAGCAAGTAATTTACCCATATTCCCACCCGTCAAAGACCCGTCATACGCGGGTAGAGGCCACCCGTTTTGTGAAACTGGTACTGGGTAAAAAAAAAACGGGTGATCACCTGCTGAACCACCCGTTTCGGCATACGGGTGGTTCTGCTGAGCACCCGTTTTCTCCAAACGCCTGCTTAGTTACACTTTAAAGCGCGTTTAAAATGCATAGCGCGCTGTATGCGCGCCAGCGTTCGCATACATGCAAAGATCATAATAAGTATGGTATTGGTCAAATACAGTGGTTAATGCATTCAGTGTGGTGTATGCTTGTAATTGTATGTATATATTAATTGAAAATCAATATTTAAATTCAAAACCTATTCTTATTCATACAAAACATTCATACAAAATTAAAAAAAAAAACACAGAAAAAAAAGGCACTTCAGACAAAACGCATTAAAAAAAATCAATGTAGACAAATTAACATGCCAAATCACATTAAAGCCTAGTACAACTCATCAGCTTCATCAAAATCATGAAAGGCTTTAAGGTCATAATCAACATGGTCTGGCCTACCATACCACTCACTCAAGATGCTTTCTCTTTCATTCTTGGTGTTTCCTATGTAAACAGCCTTGGGTGTAACTGATGGGTATGACACCTTTGTATTTGGCGGTATCTCTCCAAGCTTCCTTCGTCGATTGTCCCGATTGATTCGCTCCACAGATCAAATTGAACGGAGGGTATGATTAATTTTTTCCCTGAAACACATGAAAAAAGTACATGTTTACTTTTTGTATTTACTGGACCATGTATGTATGTATGTATGTATGTATAAATATATGTATACATATACAAGGAAAACAATGTTTAATGCATTAATATGAAGTAATTAATGTAAAAAATATTCACGTTATCAGTTTTCACTTGCGCTATTACTGTAATTGAATAATAATTACAGTAGCCCAATGTCCTTCAATTTTCCATCAGGGTTTGTCTCCTTTCGAGTTGGGAACTTATTCCAAACTTCCTCCATGAGAGCCATGAATCCCACTAGTTTGTTGAGTGGCTGGAAATGAAAATGTGAAAAGTACGTATAAAGAAAATGACAAAATATTCAAAGCTTTGCAAAAGTGCGAGCACAATATTGTAGTTATTGTATATAAGAGTATGATACTATTATATAAGAGGATGCAAAAGCAGGGCGCACTTAACAGCGCGCTTTTAATTTTCTCTTGCGCATCCAAGCAAAAAGAAGAGGATTACTACTTGGGACGCGCCGTTCACAAGTTAAAACTCAATGTTCGTTCACACTTGGCGTATTTGTGACTCGCGTGTGAATCCTAAAAATTGCTGTAAAGAGTAGAAATGCATTTCAATTTGAACTTTTATATCTTACACTTGATTGTATGGAATGCTTTCAGAAATGATCATCATGTACATTCATTTTATAATTAATTCCCCACGATATTAAAACGATTGAATATATCCGATGAAAAAAATTCACCACGACTTTCACACATATAAAAACAATTTCAGCTCAGTGACTCGGTAAAAAAATAATTATTTAAAAAAAATGCAAAATGATGTGTAATAATTTTTGGGAAGTTAATCATCATCAGATGAAGAATCTGTCAAATTTTTTTGAGCCATATCTGAAAAAGACTCCTGAACATGTCTGCCTAATAGATTTGGCCAAATTTGGTGACATTTGTAAGAAACATCATTCAGCCACACTCTGAAGCTCTGAAATTCTTCGGAAACACAATCCATTTCTTGCATGTAGTTCCCAATGATTGTCCTCATTTGTTTCTCGTAGCACGTTTTTATCTGCAAAAAGCCAGAATTGTATGTATTATTATATTCTATGCAATTCCCTTAACATTCTGCACACTAACCCATTTCTTGAACGTCACAATGCCAATGTTTGGTTTTGTTGAAAATGAGGAGGCATCTTTCTTGATGTCTTTCATCACTTCCATCAATTTTTTGTCTCGCAAATTTTTTAGCTTCCGGACCTCATCGGTTAGTATAGAACGCATTAAACCAGGAACAAACGGTGACCCTGTGAATCATATTTTGAATTTCAATTAGGATGAAGCCCACTTTTTAATTACATACATGAACATGTAAAAAATTACATTTATACTAACTTTTGCCATCTGGTGATAGTGAAAACATGCAGTCAAAACGGAAGTTTACGAATGGACTTTCTTGCAATTCTTTGTTTTGAACATCCTCCTCATCACTGGAACCGGCCGATGTACTTCTATTTTTCTTGGCAGATGAGGTGCCTGAATACGTGCCGTACTTTAAAATTGCACCACATGAATCAGCTGGAAAGAGTGATCTTGCGAGGATGTTGTAGAAAATGCCCTTCCCAATAATTTCATTAGGGGCCTGTAACATAGTTGAAGGACATGTGTATTACATCAAAAGTTTGCGTTAAACAGAGTATGATTTTTGTTTTATACACATACCATGTTTTTCTTTTCCTCAGGTGTTTCAGCTATCAATGCAAGAGTACGGCGGGCAAGGTTCTCGTAGTATTTTCTCATCCGTTGGATAAGACAGTAAAGGTCATCCAGTCAAATGAAGAGTCCTACATCAGTTCCGTCTTGACTAGGCGCACAAGCAATCATGACGCATGGAGTTAATTCCATTTACTAAAAAAATTGTGACTTCAGTATATTGCTATGTAATTTGTAAGTAACGGTGAAAAGTTACTGTTAACCAGAATGAAATTCAATTAACCTTATGTCGGAAAATGAAGAAAACACTAACATATGAAATAATGTGTACTAGTCGCACATTATAAATAGCAATGTGTTAATACCAACAGCGCGTAAATTCCAAATATACAATGCGCTGTTCTTACTTACGACACGCGCTGAATACAGTAACAGCGCGTCAGTCACAACACCAGCTACTTATTTGTGTAAAATTCAAAGAAAATGCATTTCGAAAGTGTGTAGTAAAGTATTACTCACCTCGCCCATTGCTATGGAAACCTTTTCTTCATTACTGATGTCCTCCACCCACAGGCTTCCTTGGTACGTGTACTTTGGGAACTGCAACTGTGTAGACTTGAATGCCCCAGAAACGCACCTCATAGGGATAATCCAGGATGATAGGCGGGCTTTATTGTGTTCTAATCGCAGCCATGAGGTGCAGCCAACATCAAAAATGCATGATGACATTTTCGTCCTCCACTCATTGTTTACTCCTGAAGAAGGTGTATAATTTAATGAATGGTTAAATACAAGAAAGTGGAATGAAGAGCGTGTACACATTTCTTTTGTATACCAACCATTAAAGTCTGGAGGTTTCCCCTTCATGAAATCATGCAGTTTGTAGTGTCCTTTTAAAGCCCACTGCATGAACCGTGCAAATTGTACAACTGATGCAGGAGACTTCCTTAACTTGCATTGAGGTGGTGGACTTGTAAAATTCCCTATGAAGTTATGAAATAAATACATATTACAACAGTGAAATGTTTAACTCAACACAAGGAAACAATTTTGTAAAAAAAAAATTTTTCAAAATGTTCAACATTTACCTTCATCATCAACTTCTGCAAACCTGCCATACATGCTTGCAACAGGGCCAAGTGTCTTCTTATCATGCTTTGGTGTTTTCTTGGAAGGACACTTGTTTTTCCGGATGTATTTTCTTTTTTGGACTGTAGCTTTTGTACTTTTCTGTAATTTAAGCAAAATTTGTAAATAAAATCAATTATAATCAATGCTAATTTATATTTAGTACCTGATGTTGAGAACGTTTATCAATGCCGCTACGTGATGCTTCCTTTAATGAAGTGAAGATGCAGAGGCACATGCAGTACTTTTGGCTTCTTTCTGTACATAAGGACCAGGAGCAGCAGACTTACAGCCCTTATTGAAAAAGAATCACAGCACATTTTAATACGGAACAATCAGTTACTTACATGAAAAGTAATTTCTCACCTTCATGGATGCCCTTATTATTTTCTTTGCTTTCTTTGCAACTTCATACAATGCATCATCTTGAATTCCCTTAAGCTGCATTTCTTCAATGTTATGTACTAACTCCAAGACCTTCTCACATTTCTTACAATTAGGCCCTTCACTGCTTGAATTTGTGAAGCATGCATGCAGCAGCAGCTTCAGCATGTTGACGTTGCAATAATCCAATCTGTGTGTGTAACAGAATTCAACAAGTTCCTTCCCTGCACTGCATCCCTTGCACTCTCCCTCATCAGCAATTGGGAGTTTCGTTTGAATACCTGAACAAGAAAGACATGTATAAGTTATAATAAATACTTGTAAGTTATATTACATACTTGTAATTGTAAAGTAAACGTAGGACCACGCAAATGTAAAAAAGACAAGGAATCATTTAGAAATATAACATTACTGTTGGTATGTAAACATTACTGTAGATACTGTAAATATAACATTAATATAACATTAATGCATTTACCAATGTGTTGTCTTGTATTTGAACCTTCTAAACTTGGTTGATCTTCCACTCCATCTTCAAGCAATGCTTGTCGTGTATTTGAACCTTCCAAACTTGGTTGCTCTTCCACTCCATCTTCAAGCAAACTTGGTTGCTCTTCCACTCCATCTTCAAGCAAACTTGGTTGCTCTTCCACTCCATCTTCAAGCAATGCATCTGAATCAGTTGGGTTTTTGTCTGCTTCCACAAATTGTGATGAATGTTCATCTGGAAAAGGTTGACTTGACATTACCATTGCATGTAAAAGGAAAAGTTATTATTATGCGTTATTCTAGTGTTATTCTTATCACATGCAGCATTCAAGTTAATTATTGATTATTACATATACACATACTTCCTGAGTCCTGAATTTCATATTCAGGCAACAACAATTGATTGGTTCGTCTCAATTCAGCAACATCAGCAACACCATGGTCTGGAACTTGCGTATCTAATTTTTTTTTAAGAAAAGATAAACATTACATATTTCAACCTTGTGTTAATAAAAATATACATACATTCCAATTCTTCCGTACCTCCGTCAGGTTGAGGCAATTCCAGGGGTGGGGTTACATCAGCAACCTCAGGAACATAAAGTGGAACTTGTGTATCTACAGCATTTGAATGAAAATGTTGACATTACAGCATATCTTAACCTTGTGTTAATAAAAATATACATACATTCCAATTCTTCTGTACCTCCGTCAGGCTGAGGCAATTCCAGGGGTGGGGTCACATCAGTAACCTCAGGAACATAAAGTGGAACTTGTGTATCTACAGCGTTTGAATGAAAATGTTAACATTACATATGTGAACATTGTGTTATTACAAGTATACTTACATTCAAATTTTTCCGATGCTGCGTCAGGTTGAGGAACTTCCAAGGGTGGGGTGGAATGAGCAACAGCATGCATTTCAACTTCCGTATGTTCGTCACCTAAACCAAAATAAGTACTTTACGTTCTTTTTTCATTGTGTTAGTCCAAGTAGACGTACATCCCAAGCTTTCCACAGCAGTGTTGTTTGTTGGTTGTAGCTCTCCAGGAATGGAATCAGGAGGTACTGAATGGACTGCAGGAGGTCGTCTATCATCACCTTGTCCTATTACAGTTTCACATCCCGTTTCATTTTCTTCTTTGTAAAGCACTCGGCATAACTCCACCCATTCTGTAATTATATTAATTTTAACATACATAACATAATGATAAGGATGATAACATTAATCATTTTGTAGAAATGTGCAACAAATTGAAACTCACTGTTTTTCTTCATGCATGAAAGAATTAGAGTCTTCAAGACTTCAATGAAGCTATCCAGTTGATTGGGCCTTAACTTGTTAGGCGTAATTAATGCGTACGCCTTGTCCCCCTTCTGCAAGTCTCTTTGAATTAGGCCGCACACCGCCTCCGATTCCATATTCTGCACTTTTGGTGAGTGCATGATCGTTGAACGATACGCTGCCAAGAGAGCTCCGATTGTGTTAGCATTGTACGTAGTATTATTAATTTCCGCAGCTGTCACATTGCGGCACAAGTGAATATTACTCATCTTAGACACGTTTTACCAAAAATACTCAACAAGCCTGAAAAGGATTAAAAAATGAATTCCCATTAATGTACTTAAAATAATTACTCATAAAAAACATTGCACACAACGAATACATTCCCTGCGTAAAGAATTACTCGCGTCACTAATAGGAAAAAGACATGCAGCATATCACACAAGAAACACATTTCTGTATAGTATGCATGGGACACACACAGCGCGTTGTCGTAGCCCTAAGTTGCCGCACTTACGGAAACATTGCAGGGTAAGAGTAAACAGCGCCTTGCGTGTATACATTCACTTTTGAAGAATGCTACCTTGCGATCATGAAAGGGCACGTTGTGAAACTGCGAGTGTGACAAGTGCGTCATATAATTGGAGACCTGCGTCATATAATTGGAGAGCTGCGTTTTGAATATGTGAACAACGCGCCAAGAAAGTGGAGACCCGGCAGGGTTAAGTGCACAACTGGAGCAATTAGTGTATGGGAATGGGAATTTGTGGGAATGGGGATCCTATACCTATGAAGAGATACAATTAAATAACCAAAAAAAGGAACTGCTGGGGTAATACTTACATTCCAAGATTGCAAAACCTGGCCCTTTAATTTGGAAAAAAAAACCACTGACATCAGAAATTAATGCGTACTGTTATATTCGTTCTTCTTGATACAAAGAATTGTTTAAAGCTATAATATAATTACTCATCAAAACTGCAGACTGAAGACGTCTTGAAAATGTTGCAATTTTCACTTTTTATGGTCTTAATTTGTTGGTAGGGAGCTAACATGCTGTATTGGCGGGCCAGATGAAAAGCCTCTGCGGGACAGATGTTGCCCTCAGGCCATATCTTGGGCACCCCTGACATAGATCATGTCACTAGTATGTGAAACTGCATAAAAAATAGCATACTCACCTCATCTTCATAACCCTGCTTTACAGTTCACGAAGCGCCATTCCCATATACGAATTGCTCAGGGTGTTCACCATGCGCAGTTCCTCCTAATGCGCTTTACACAATGCACCATTCACTTTGCCCTGCTGGGTCTCCACTTTCTTGGCGCGTCGTTTGCATATTCCAAGCGCACCTCTCCACTTATGTGGCGCGCCATTCACAATCGCTGTTCACATCCACATATTCTCTGAACGCGATTTCATCAACGTGCCATTCTAGTCACGTTGCATAACTTGAAAAAAGAAATGCCGTTCGCGTATGAACGCAATTTTGACAGCGCGCCTTCCACAAGTTCCTTGTTGGAATTCCTGAAATTAATGAAAGTACACATTACATAATACATTCCGTGCTTCTCATACTATTAACAATTAAGAGGATACACGGATGATTTACAAATGCTCCAAAATTATTTTCTTCAACATAGGACGCATTTGTACATTCATGAAGCTGTCATAAGATTATTACATCATCATCAACTTCAGTACCTTTACTTTTAAACCATCAGCCCTTGCACTTTCACTTTGACGATTTTCCAACAACATTTCAATTTGAACACTCATGTAGTCTTCATTCTTATTTATATTTACAAGAATTGAATCTTCTCCAACTTCTTCCTCTTGATTCTCCATTTCCCCTGAAAGTTTCCTTTTCTTACTTTTTTTCCTAATTTCAGGGATTCCACTTCTTCTGCCACAAGATGCATTTGACTTTCTTCCTCGGCAGTCAATTTCTCCTTATGAATCCTGCACACAACAAGAAACTAATGAATATAACTTCAGTCAATACACTGCCTTATGT